GGGGGTTGGGAGGTAAATGACCAAGAACCTCTAGTAGGTGCATTTCTGGTTTAAGATCAAATAGGGGGTGGGGGCTGGAGAGATAATACTGCGAGTAGGGCATTAGCCTTGCATGCAGCCAACCCAGATTAGATCCCTGACATCCCATATGTTCCACTGAATTCTCCAGGTGTTATGCCTGATAACCCCTGAGCATTGCTGGGTGTGGTCCAAAAACCTTAAAAAAAAAAAAAAAGGAAGAATGGCTTCTATGTGGACATGACCACCAGTTAGGTATGTGATTCATATCTAAATTCAGAAATAAATATTGCTCAAGTTACTTCCAGTTCAGTTGGTGGCTTGTAACAAGAAGGAAATATGTGGAGTTGCAAAAAATTGTCTCTCTGATGACTTACAGTCTGTGAAAAATGGGGAGATAAGCCTGACTGTTCAGGAGCATGAACTTCAATATGTTATATAGCAAAATCACATGCATCAACTTAGCACACGAAAGCACAATTAAGGCAATTTCAGTTAACAAGTAAGCAGTAACACCACCTATTTGGGGCAGGATTCCCTGATGGTGTTCAAGGTACCTGGGGACCAGTCCTGGTGATACGTGGTCAATGGGTCTGGTGAATGAGGACCCAAGCTAGGTCTGGAGGATGAAGTGCTGCTTGAGCCCTGTGGTGTGGGGGACCTCTAGTGCTACCCTGGTGGTGCTTTGGGGGTCTCAGGAGGCCATACAGAAACAGGGGTAGAACCCTGTCAGGTACAGGCATCTAACCTAACTCCTGTACAGTTTCCCTGTCCCTGCAATAACCCCTTTTATAAAACACTCAAATCCTATTATAGCTTTACAAACTCATGTGGACAGTTTGTTATCTGGGTTTGTGATTTTTTTTTTCATTTCATTTCATCATCCTGTTAATCGTCGATTGCCTCGAGCAGGCCCCAGTAACGTCTCTTTCATCCTAGCCCTGAGATTATATTCACGGCTCTTTAGGAGAATGAGACCCATCATTGTTACTGGTATTTGGCATATTTGGTACGCCACGGGGAGTTTGCCAGACTCTGCCCTGTGGGCAGGCTACATTCGATAGCCTGCAAGTTTGTCCAAAGTAGGAATGAGATAATAAGATGTCATAAAGAAAAGTTCTGATAAGATGTCGCGCGGCCGCGAATGCGGCCGCGCGGTTCCGGGATCTGAATTTTATGGTCTCTGAGTCTTGGCCGCTGATGGGATTACACGGCGCCAGGGGGCCAGGTGGTGGGTGTGACCCCCGCCTACTGGAATTTGGAGGATCTGGGTGGAAGATGCTCGACTCCAATTCGAGTAGTCTTGGAGGTATCGGCCCCAGAACCCGCGTGGCTTTGTCCCTCTGCCAGTACCTTCATGTGATTTTAATCAGCATAAAAATCCATCAGGAAGAAAATAAAGAGCTTCATGTCCTTCAAATCTTTACAATTTTTCATATATCCTTATAACAACTAGCTTACTGTCAATAGTATTTTGAGAGGGTTATGGGTCAAGGAAATGATTGGGTGAAGCCAGCTGAAAGCGAGAACATAATTAACAATAAATATTCTTTTATTGCATACCCTGAGTTAAGACCCATGTAACAGGATTTATTTAATCTTTCAAACAACGATTTTTATTTTATGAGTGAAGAAAGCAAGCGTTGGCGAAGTTATGTCATTTTCCCTGGACTTTGCTTCCAGATCACCCTGGACCCTGAGGAGGGGTGGCTGCATATGATGAAGTGTGAGCTTTTGGAGTCTTCTTTCCCTGGTCCTCAGTGCTCATGCAGTGTTTGGAAGACTGGTCCCACCTGTAATTAGTTCTACTCTGGTCATCTTAGGGCTGGAGCGATAGCACAGCGGGTAGGGCGTTTGCCTTACACGCGGCCAACATGGCCAACCCGAGTTCGATTCCTCCGCCCCTCTCGGAGAGCCCGGCAAGCTACCGAGAGTATTCGATATGCCAGACACAGTAACAACAAAGTCTCCAATGGAGACGTTACTGGGCCCGCTCGAGCAAATTGACGATCAACGGGAGGGCCTGGTCATCTTACCATTTGCTGTGGGCTATGATGGCCGTGTGGGCATGGTTGAGATCCTTTAAGTGGGTTCCCCTTTCCACATCTAAGAGAATTTTAAGCCCTGCAAGTGGCAGAAGATGATGAGCTCTGAACACAAAAGAGTTGTTTGTTCTAGTCCTGTTTTTCAATGTTTTAAGAGCGTTAACTTTATTATTCCAGCAAAATGCTGAATTATTGTCCTCCTCCCTCCCTATTCTCATTTAATTAATCAGCATACTGTAATCTATTTTCTCCATTTCCCATCCTCATCTATCTTTTCCATATATATATATATATATATATATATATATATATATAGCATTTATAGTCTCACCAGTTGCTTCTTTGATAGCTTTTGTCTTGAAGCTCTTGTCACGCCTTTTTGCCAAGGTGTGATTTTCATTTTATGTATCCTGCCCTAGGATTCACACTGTTTCTGAGCCTGAGCGTACATGTCTTTCATCAAGTCTGAACAGTCATTGTCCTATATTGTCTATCTGATTTTTATCCTCTGCTGCATTACTAACATATGTTGAAAATTCTCATTTCCCCCATCCCATGTCTTTGAATCCCCCTTTCCCCCACATCCCCCCACCCCAATTGCTTTAGCTCTTTATATGGGATTTGAGTAATTTTCTCAGACCCATACTCAGTCATGTGGGGCCTTGGGTGGGAACCATGATACATGATCAAGGGATACAGGTCTTATGTGTCACTGATAAGCCTGGTGCTGTGGTGCTCAGTGCCCAGTGTAGCTGGGGGGCCTCCAGGGTCACCCTGGAGGTTCAGGGGAAGGCCATCCAGTACAGGGATTGAATTTAGGTACTCACACATGCCAACCGCATGCTCTGTCCCTGTCAGCCAATCTCCCTCTCCCAGTTACTCTTCATTCAACCAAATCTAATCTGATTTTATTAATTTTGATAATAAATCCTATTTTGTGTGCTTCAGTCTTCAATTTTTCCAGTTTTTGACACTAATTGAACAAATAATTCTATTTTCAACAGTTTCATGTCAAATTTATAAAATCTGACTTTTGTTTATTTTAGAATAAGTCCTGTCTATACCCTTTGATACTCAGAACTTACCCCAGGCTCTGTGCTCAGGAATCACTCCTGGGAGTACTTGCAGGATCATATGTGGTGTTGGGGATTGAACCTGGGTCACCTACATGGAAAGCAAGCATCTTACCTGCTGTACTATCTATCCAACCCTAAAATATGATTTTAAAAACATTTATTTGGGGCTGGTGCAATAGTACAATGGGTAAGGCACTTGTCTTGCATGCAGCCAACATGAGGTTTTGCATGCTGCCAACATGGCTTCAATCCCCAGCATCCTATACTGTCCCCAGAGCACTGTCAGAAGTAATTCCTGAATAAGTCAGAGCCAGAAGTAACCCCTAAGCATCGATGAGTGTGGTCCCACAACTATAAATTTAAAGAAAATTTTAAACATTTATTGTTCAAGTTTTCAACTTTTATGTTTTTAGTCTTTGTAATCATCTTAGCTGTGAGTGTTTAAACTAGAACTATCTAATGGTTCTAGCACCTGAAATTTCTGTTAGTTGTGAGGTTAGAATGGAATTTTCTAACGCCTGTCTGTGGACCTCACTGGCAGATGGTTTGTGGCATATGATTTTAAAGTTTAAGGGGTTTTGTTGTTGTTTGGAGGAGGGTTCAACCGCACTTGGTGGTTCTCAGGACTTAATCCTGGCTCAGTACTCAGAGATAAATAGTAGTACTGAGGAGTCCGTATAGGGTGAAGAGGGTAGAACTGGAATCAGCCATATGTAAGACAAGTGCCTCAACCCCTGCACTATGTTTCCAGCCCTGGAAGATAACATATTTGAAATCAAGTTGATAGAAATATATGAAAACAGTCTTTTATTACAAAGGCAATCAAATAGAGATGTGAGAAAACTGGTCACTAGAGAGGTGACTTAATTTGCCCAGATGGGATAATTGAGATTTGAACCCAGACACTTTGGCTATGGAGTTCATGTTTTTTGCCACTATGCTTTTCAGTGTTTGAGTACACAATATAATGACGTTGTAGGCTTGGTTCCAGATGACTGTGGTAAACACTATAGTAAAGTTAACATATGCTTTTGTTTTGGTTTTCCAGTGCCCATAAAAATTAAATTCATACTCTAATATGATCTATTGAGTGTGTAACATACTTGCATATTGCAAGAATTACCAAAGAGACACAGAAATACAAAATAAACACATGTTGTAGGGGAAATGAAACTTATAGACAGGCTCACACAGGGTTGTTAGCAACCTCTGTCTGATTAAAAAATACCATGAAGGGTGGTAATGCAAAGCCCATTAAAATGAGGTCAACCTGTATTTGTTTCTTCTGTGTGCTGAGACTAGAACTCATCTATCTATCTACTGATACTGAAAATGCTGATGGGTAACAATCGCTTGTGAATTAGAGTATAAACTAATGCTGAGTCAAATAGTTTGTTGAACCCAAAAGGAGAGAGAGAACAAAGGGGAATGCCCTGCCACAGAGGCAGTGTGGGAGGGGGGTTGGGGGAAAATGGGCACTGGTGGAGGGATGGGTATTTGATCATTGTATGACCAAAACTCAGGCACAAGGATTTGTAAATCTACAACTGTACCTCATGGTGCTTCACTAATAAAAAAAAAATAGTTTGTTGAAATTCCTTTTTTTTAATGTCACAGATCCAGATGATCCCAATAAAGATGCCCATAGATTGGCTTTGACTTTAATCAGTGCCCTTATGTGAGTGACAGTGGTGTCCCTGGAAGTGAACAGCCTTTAAACAATGTGAACACATTAGGCATTTAATTTTACCATAACTCCACGGTGAACCCCTGCTCAGGCTTAATAGGGAAGCAGAAATCCAAAAATAAGTGAACTTTTCCAGATGAACTGTAACCTGTGTATATTTATTTTATTCCAAAGGTTTTAATAACACTGAGAGGACGTGCGACAAAGAGTTTATTATCCGGAGAACAGCCACCAATCGAGTCCTGAATGTCCTCCGCCACTGGGTCTCCAAGCATGCACAGGTAACTTCATGGCCTCATTCAGCCCTTTCAAGGATGGGTTTTGGGCCAACTTCTTTACCCATCTCACAAGTTCGAACGCCCCCTAATTCTTGGGAAGAGGAACTTGGAACCTAGAAGTTGGAACCCAGGAAGGGAGACATAGGAGGATATACACATGCAGATCAAAGAAAATGTGTGCATACTGCCAAATCCAGTTTCTGCAAATGACATCATGCAGGAAGGGAAGCGGGGTTCCTTCACTTTCTAAGAAGCATTATCCACCTCTGGGTGCTGGGGCTACAGAAAAGTCCTGTACTGGACCATACACAGTGCCCTTATGTGAGTGACAGTGGTGTCCCTGGAAGTGAACAGGAATTGCTGAAGGTAAGTGATACTTTGGGGCCACACACACTAGTATCTAGGCATAGTATTTCCAAGAAATGGAGCCAGAGAGATAGTACACAGGTGAGGGTGACTGCCTTGGATGTGGCTTATTCAGGTTTAGTCCCTGGTACCACATATTGTCCTGAGTTCCACCAGAAGTGATCCCTGAGCACAGACCCAGGAGTAAAACCTGAGCACCACCAGGTTTGGCTCAAACAACAATGGCAGCAACACCCACTAGAGTGTTTTTGACTCTTGCTCTTTGATGAAGATGCCCAATATTCTGGTTCTAAACTGTGTTGTCCTGCTACTTGTGTGTTTTCAGTGCATGAGTACAGAACTCCCACCTATTCTCATGAAAGCAAGCAAGGCGCCATAACCTTCCCTTCCCTTCCCACTTTTCCTATCTGTAGTTTATTCTTCTTACCCAGATAATGGGAACGTATGCTAGACATCTGACCAGCTAATTCCCAACAAGAAGAGTTTGAAGAAGGTAGACAGGGTCCTGCCTGGCTTAGACCAGTATATATGAAACCAGTGCTGTGTGTGTGAGCTAACTTTGTGGGTTCACTTCATTAACCTCTCTGAGGCCGTGGGGTCTCCCACCTGGGCTCTGGTCATGGCAATCTGTTTGGGTCACATGACCATCTCCTGAAATCCTTGTGGCTACAGGACTCAAAATTATTTATGTGACCATAAAAAATTTTAAATGCTACTGAAAATAAAATCTGTAAAGGCATAAAAATGAATATAGGCTATAAAAATGATGTCTCATGTGTCTAAAATAAAAATGAATCTTAGAGAATTCAGATATTGAGAACTGTCCTTACTACATTGGGATTTCTTCTCCCTCTTTGTATCTCAGTGGCCTGCCTGTAAATCTCTTTTGCCCTTTTCAGATCAAACATGATAATTATATTTCTCCTGTATCTGACCATCCATCTAGGGTTGATTGAGGGCCTTGATTCTATTCATGGGGTGCACTGTGGCTTCTCGATGCAGAGTGACTTTAGTAGACCAATCTGAGCAAAGGCTGCTGCTCCATTTTCTTTCCTGGTCTCAGCTCAGTCTGTGCAAATTTGTGCCAAGATTCACATAGTCACAGCATGCACCAAAGCTCAAGTCTACCTGCCTAGACTCCTCTCCCCTCTGAAACCACCTCGTAACTTTTGCTCTCCTATCTTTTCTCAATCCCCAGAGTCTTCTTTTTCTAATGAACCCAAACAGGAACCTTAGAGCAGCTAGCCAAAAAAACTATAATGCACTGCAATTATTTTCTTTTTGATAATAGAAGTCATCAACTGGGAAGATGTTGTAATAACGAGACTTTATAATGAAGTGTTGTCATGTGATCAATAGTTGCATTGAGCAGATAAAGCGATGCAGACAGATAGGTGTATATGTCTGCAGACAGACACACAAACACACTGGCATGCTCACAGGCATTATGAGACTGAATAGAACCATGTTATAGCATAGAAAAGGGAGCTGTGAAAATGAAGGTCTCTTCTCACAGTGTGCTCTGGTGGGATTAATGCAAATTCACATATCTAAATGTTAACTTTGGCTTGGCCAAATCAGCTGCTTTATGAACCATTACTTCAGATTTGCTCAGATATGGCAAAGAACTTCCTCTTCATTTACAGTTTCAGGGACCAGGCCTGGCATTCCAGATCCTCAGACTGGACCATGAGAGGGGTGTGTGTGTGTGTGTGTGTGTGTGTGTGTGTGTGTGTGTTGGGGGAGTGTGGGGAGTCCCCATTGCTCAGGTGCTCACTCTTTCTTCCTGACATGTTTATTGTATATAACTTAGAGCCTGATTTAAGTTTTGAGTCTATGTTCTGAGCTCTCACTCATTTGTCTTTGTTTTAATCTTCCTTACATCTATAAGTGGATTTAAAGGAATCTTTTCTTTTCTTTTCTTTTTTATGCTTTTCTCATCTTTTTGTTTCTTCTCTTTTCTTTATTTCTGATTTCAAAGCTCTTCATGTTTTAACTGTCCTTTATACCCTCATTTTGTTGTGCTTATCACTCAGTCGTGACCTTTCATGTGGAAAGCAAAGCTGTAAGACCAAGCTATGTGTCTTCCATGTGCTCTGCCTGTGGACCAGCTCAGAGTCCAGAGGACTCAGTCCTTCCAGCTCTGTCACTACATCATCTCTGGGACCTAAAATCCATCACTTGGCTTTTCTAGATAGTAATTTCCTCTTCTGGAAGTGATTGCAGCTTATGCCTTTGACCTTGCCCAGAGATGTGATAAAAAGGAAAGGGCCTGTGGGATTCAACAGCAGGAAAGACATACAGTACAATGTTGATCTGTTCCTTGCAGGTGCCGCATTTCCTCTCTCTGCTATGAGCCAAGTTATCTCCTTCATCTTAGATTTCCTCTCTTAAGGCTCTGACTAAAAGCCAGTGCTGGGTCTGTGGGGGTGTCCATCAAATTTCCCTCTAGAGGTTCACTTTCTAGACTTTCTAGTTTCAAAGTCAGCCAAGACAGACTCTCATCACTAAGGAGCTTAAAGAAGAGCTGTGTGTGCAGAGAAGGAAGGAAAGGAATTGTTTTCATTCTGCCCTCGCTCATGCTCATTCCCTGGGCCTCCTGCTGGCTGGTCTGCTGCCTTTTGCCCAAGCCCCAGGTGTCTGCTGGCTGCACGCCAGGGTATTGGGCCAGAGATTCTTGTCACTGCTTTGTCTTCTCTGCACAGATGTGGAAAGGGTCTTCCACAGTAACTCTGGACAGCTCAGAGCTGTGTTAGTGTCTGTTGAAAGCATGATTTTGTGTCATCTATAGTAATTTTGGCTTCCCTGAGTTGTCTGATTGGCCAACAGATTCTGGAAAATGCTCTTTCCACTTAAGGAAACACAGGCAGGCATGACACGCACTCCATCTGACTCTGAGTAGCCTCTAAACGACAGTGGCTGTGAATGAAACAGTCTCTCGCTTTCTTTTTCATTTCTGTTTAAGGGTCTTACCTGGCACTGCTCAGGGGGCTACTTCCAGCTCTTAGCACTGAGGTCACTCCTGGTGCTTGAGAAGACCATTGCTGGGCAGTTTGAACCCAGGTCTCTTATGTGCTAAGCAGGTTCTTCAACTGGAGCCCCCCCCCCCCCGTCTCTCTCTGTCTCTCTGTCTCTCTCCTCCCTATCTCTCTCTCACACATTCTCTCTCCTACACTCTCACTCTCTCTCCTCATGACCCTCATTTTATGAACTAGAGGCAAAAAGGAAAGCTTTGAAAGTGTTAGAAGAGATAAAAATGACCTAGTTACATAAAAATTGCCTTCCTAAAGAAGTGTGTGAGGAAATATTGCTGCTCACTTTTGGTTTTCTCTCCTCCTTCACTTATTCCCCGATAGAAACTGAGCCCCAGAATAGGCTGCACCCTGTGCTAGCTTGCGAGTGTGAGAGATTCCCAGGGCCTGTGATTCTGGATGTGATGGGCTGTTGGGTCTAATCCTTCTGCTTGCCTCGGGCTCTCTGGACAGGCTCTTAAAAGCACAGGGGATCTGGTTGGTGACAAGCAACTGCAAATCCTGAAGGGAACTGCTGGGTCCCTCAGCAGGACAATCCCATCCCCTAGGACACCTCACATCCCACACCTGTGCTCACCCACCTTGTGGGGGCTGAGACAGGAGCCGCTAATGGGAAGGTGGTTTCCGGGTATGAATTCCCACTGCCTCAGGAAGTGAGGGAACAACATCCTTCTGCTTGAGCCTCTTGAGAGGAACAACAGGAAATGGCACCTGCACCCCAGGAAAGGAGAAAGTTGCCTGTGTAGCAGCTGCTGGGGTGCCTGCTGCAGCGTGCAACTTTCCTGTAACTTCTGGGAGCCAGGTGATTCTGGGAAATCTTCTGCAGGGGCCCTGTACCCCTTCGAGGACTGAAAATAGAGGCTCCCAAACTTCTTCGGCTAACAGAACAAAAATGAAATCTGCCTTTCGTAAGTCAACAAACGAAGTGCCCTTGAATTGCACCCAAAGCTAATACTACTCCCACACATTCCAGTGCCCCCAAATGAGAGTGTCACCCACTTTGCGGAAAACTGATCTGGAAAAGCAGTAGGACCCCCATAGAGGGATCCTCAGAGAGTTGGACTCCTCGCAGCTCTGGACCCCAGGGAAATTAAAAGTGACCCATAAAAAGCACAAGCTCGGGGTTGGAGTGATAGCACAACGGGCAAGGTGTTTGCCTTGCATGCAGCCCACCCTGGTTCGATTCCCAGTCTCCCATATGGTCCCCTGAGCACTGCCAGGAGTAACTTTTGAGTGCAGAGCCAGGAGTAACCCCTGAGCATCACCAGGTGTGACCCAAAAAGCAAAAAAAAAAAAAAACCCTCCCTGATTCGACTTGGCTGGCCTTAAGTCTCCAGCAGTAAGTCTCCAAATATTTGACTGTGGTGATCTCTATGAGAAGCCCTAACATGGAATAGCACAGACTTTGCTAGTGCCAGGCCCAGCATCGAATGGCCCCTCTCTTCATCGAGGCTTGGCCTCTGAGCCGGCCCACAGACACATCTGGGGTTGCTCCTTAGAAAAGAAGACCCAGGTCTCCCTACGCTAGCATGCCAGGCATGTTATTTTACAAAGCAGGGTCTGGACCTCATCAAGGGCATAAGCACATTTGGAGAACATCCCCAA